GGAGTCTATTCTGACCCACAGCGCCCCTAGAGGACAGAGTGGAACTGCCCACAGGGTCTCCAAGGCTGTCAATCTTCATGGAAGCAAAGCCCAAACCACACCCACTGCCGTGGAGTCCATTCTGGCCCACAGCGCCCCTAGAGGACAGAGTGGAACTGCCCACAGGGTCTCCAAGGCTGTCAGTCTTCACAGATGCAAAGCCCAAACCACACTCACTGCCGTGGAGTCCATTCTGATCCACAGCACCCCTAGAGGACAGAGTGGAACTGCCCACAGGGTCTCCAAGGCTGTCAGTCTTCATGGAAGCTGATTGCTTCATCCTTCTCCTGCTCAGCAGCTGGCAAGTTCAAAACTTGCCACCCTTTTGGCCAGCAGCTGAATGCTTTAACAACTGGGCCACCAGAACTCCTCAATGCCAGATTACAGACTAATCTGGTTTCTAAGGAGAGAATGCCAGGTCCCAATTTCCTCTTCAAGGAGTCTGATGGTGCAGAGCGCAGAGGGTAAGCATTCAGCCACTAACCAGAAGGTCAGGGGTTTGAAACCGCTAGCTGCTCTGGGAGAGAAAGTTGGAGCAGTTTGCTTCCACAAAAAATGACAGACCTCCATAGGATAGGCTCTATCCTATAGGGTCACTGTGAGTCTGTCTTAGTTCTCTGAACTTACTGCCGTGGAGTCCATCTGAGTCACAGTGACCCCTCCTTGGGTTTCCGTGGCAATATCTCTACGGAAGTAGACTGCCCAACCTTCCTTCCAAGGAGTGGCTGGTGTGTTTGAACTGCCAGCCTTCTGGTTAGCAGTCAGATGCCTTAGGCACTATGCCACCAGTTCTTAGTTCTCTAGTGCCACTATAACAGAAATACCACAAGGGGGTGGGTCCAATAAACAGAAATATATTTTCTCACAGTTTAGCAGACTAGAAGTCAGAACTCAGGGGAGGCTTTCTGCTTTCAGCTTCTGCTTCCTGGTTCCTTGGAGACCTGCATGTGGTTTGGCATCTCTCTCCCAATGTCCATTGCCTCCTCTATCCTAAGCTGCCCTTTTTATATCTCAAAGGTAATTGGCTTAAACCACACCCTGCACTTACATGGGCTCTTAACACAGAAAACACATTATAATACATATTCTGGGGGGACGTAAGTCAGTGCATAGCAGAGTTGGAATTGACTTGACAGCAATAACTATAGGAATTCCTTCCTCCCTAGAACACAGGGGAACTCTGGTGGTGCAGTGCCTAAGGCATCTGACTGCTAACCAGAGGGCTGGCGGTTCAAACCCATCAGCGTCTCCTTGGAAAGAAGATTGGGCAATCTACTTCCGTACTGATACCTCCTTAGAAACCCAAGGAGGGGTTGCTATGAGTCAAATGGACTCCATGAGAGTGAGTTTTCTTTTGGTCTAGAACCCAGGAATCCAGCCCCCATCCTCCTCCTCCTTCTTCAAGGAACTAGGAAATCTGAGCTCTCACCCCTCTCTTCTTCAAAGCCCCAGGAAGCCATATCCCCACCCTCGTCCTGCAGGACCCAGGAGTCCAAGCCCACCAGACCCCTCTCCCCCAGGGAAATGGGAGTGGGGGTTTCCACCCTTCCTCCTTCAGGACCCGGGAGTCAGAGACCCCAGCCCTCTGCTCTCCGAGGGAAGAGCTTGAGTCAGGCTGGGCTGGGCTCAGGAGCGCTCACGCAGCCGAGATCTCCAACTCCTGGTCCAGGACTGCAGCCACATTCTCATAGATCACATCAGGAACGTTCTTGTCAGTGACCGCCTTCTCCTCTGGGGCCAGGGATGACTGCTGGAGGAACTGGAGGATGCACTGGTGCAGAAACACATACTGGGCCTGGGGAGGGGGTACGGGGGTGAGGCCCAGCTTTCCCTGGGGCTCCCACAGCCCCCCTCCTCCCTAGGCCCCCCAGAGATGCCATCACCTCTGTTTGAACCATCAGAGGGCGGCTCCCTCTCATCTTCCTCACGAAGCTGAAGGGCCCCACGAGACCCTCACACTCCAGCTGCCGCAGCAAGACATCCAGGGCAATGAGGGTGCCGGTGCGGCCCACGCCAGCGCTAGGTGGGGACAGGGAAGGGGTCCGATCACAGGAGAGATGTCACGCATTGCACCGTGTCTCCCTCAAACATACACTGAAGTCCTCGTAGGACCACCATGGGTTAAGGCCAGCTAACAACAGTAACAACCCCCGGTGGGATGTACCTGGGTGGGGCAGATAGTTAACACACTCAGCTGCGAACTAAAAGGTTGATGGTTCAAGTCCACCCCGGGGTGCCTTGGAAGAAAGGCCTGGCAAACTACTTCTGAAAAATCAGCCGTAACTATGGGCACAGTTCTGCTGTGGCCCACACGGAGGCACCATGCATCCGAGCTGATTAATGTAACTTAATGTAACTGGTTAAAGCCTGGCATCTCCAAGCATGATGCTGTTTGGAAAGGTCTGTGATGATGTCATGGGAGCTCTGGTAGCGTAGTGCCTAAGGCACTTGACTGCTAACC